TAACCTGTCAACAATCAGTCTCATTGCATTTCAAGAGAAACAGAAAGAAAAGCTGATAACATAAGGAATCACATGCATGGGGAGATACTGCGAAGTTAATTACCCTAGTTCCTTCCTTACTTTGCAGAAGGCCACTCTACCATATTTGGGTTGCTAACCGGACTTGAAAGGGTGATCTGACCAATACTTTTAATCACTGATCTAAGAAGGGAGACGCTACCTGAAGTGCTTCTTTAAAAGTGAAATTTAAATTCAGACAATTCGATACAACCTTTCTAATGCCGAGATAATACCAGCGAGTATTATTTCTAATGGTTAGATGTCATAAATTTGGATTACTCTGCTGCTCAATCTTTGCCAACCTCAGATGACGATGGCAATAATGATGGAGAGGATCATGACGGCCTTGGCAGAGAACGATCATAATGAAGAACACGAAATTCGTGTCAACGACAAACGCAACTGACAATGGAGATATGATAATGCGCTCTAGTACGATTACGATAAAAACAACGACCATGATGACCATCATTATGAACCAAGATATCGAAAACTTATACCAGCACCATAATGCTATAAATTTTGGACAATTACTATTAGTAACATCATGACGATAATCGTGATCATTTTCATAATCACAGTTATCGTAAGGAATTACTAACATAATCACAAATCATAATGGAAATGATTCATTACCATAATTACCCTTATCAAACAGTATCATCGTAATCATTTTTCAAATGTTAATCAGTATTTGCAGCGAAATCATAGTAGTATAAACAATTATGATGAAGATGTTTTAATCACTAAGACGTCAGCATTATCACGTCAATAATTCATCATCGTCAGCATTATGACAAAGATTATGATACTGAATCATGATTACACCTTTATCATGATAATGATTACACAGCCCACCTAATGACATTAATGACTATGATTATGGTTGTAAAGATCATTATCATTTCTGACATAAGCGTACTAATCGTAAAACTGATGTCGATACGATATATGACAGTGACACTGAAGATCATAATTAAGATAACTGTTGTCATATTATCATGACCATGACTATAACGATCATTATTATATCATCATCACAACAATCATAATTGGTACCGACATCAGCATTATCACGCTGATCATCATGACAGTCATCTTAGATTAATTATCAATGCCTTCCTTCCAAGACCGAGTCACAGAGGCAGGTGTTTTAGGAGGGTTCTTCAGTGGCCCCAATCCTTTGTCAGTTAAGTAAGATCCACAGACCGGGAGACTGCCAGTCATGAGAATCCCAGCTACTGGTAGGTAGCTGAAATAAATAGATATACCATAGTCTCTCTTCTCAGTGCGCACGAACAACCAAGTAGGATGCTTAACCCAACCAATAAACCCGCTTTCTACTTATGATAACAAGTGGAAGCAGTCCAAAATACGAAAAATCTTTAGACTTTAGGAGACAGTGGATCAAGATTACGATAAAGTTTAAGTTGATATCGATCATGTTCTCAGAGGCCGTGATTTTCATTATCATTATTACCACGATCACAATCGTTATCACCAGAAACACTGACGTCCAATGATTCAAGGTGATTATGATGATACCATGCGGCATCATTACTATGATAATCATACTAATGACAATGAACATCAACATGATAACGATGATACTGATAATAATGATAGCCACTGCGTTCATGACAATGATCGCCGCCATCATCACGAACAGCTTGATCATAAGAAAGATGAAAATAATTAAAATGAGACGATGAAATATAATGTAGTCAACTCTTCGGACTAAGCATGATGCCACTTTCACAATTGTCATCTCAACCAAAAGGTTTGTTTTCGGTAGTGTAGTAAGTATGATATAAGGCAGAGTATCTGACAGTTCAAATACAATGCACAATACGGCTTCGTGAAAAATCGAAAAAGAAAAGTACAAAGTAGCGGGCACCTCTGGATGGAACTGCTGTTCCGTTCTAGTGTGACAGTACCCGCACCTGTCGCCTTCTTCACAAGTTTCGGGATTGCACCATTCATCACCGTGTTTGACGACCGGACACGGGGTAGAGCGGTATTTAAATTCACCTGGTGGCCGTCTTTTGTCTTTACTGTTGTGATAGTACGGGCAGGCGTAGCCTTGACGACAAAGACGAGGCGGCTTTTTGCACAAATCTGTCTTGTAGTACGCAAGCACGTAATCGTGATCTAAAACACAGACAATCAGCTTTAAACGAAACAAGGCACACTGTCAAAAATTTTTTGCACCGTTACCTTGCCATACTGGATCCTCGATGACATAGCTGAGACGATCACGGTTTTCAAGCATTTCGTAGCCCATTTCTTCGTTCTGTTGCTGAAATTGAAATTCATTAAAAAACAGAACTAGACAAAGTCTAATCATAAAATAAAAGCAACTTAACCTAGATGCGTGCGCTTCATACATACAACTTAGAAGTGGTACGCGAACACTAGTAATTTTTTATTCTATGTTATGGTTCAAAGAAACAGTTGCGCAATGCTTTAGCCCAAACACCAAATGTGGTTCAGGCTAATTCCCAAACCCCAAACCAGGCTGGCATTGGCAATTTGCATTTTACGTTTTTACCAGTGTTAGCTTTTAAATTTGACGAAACAAACTATTCGGCAATTAAAATCAAACAACACAATTACGATTACAATAAGGTTTCATGGATACCTCAAAAATACAACTAGGACAGCGACACGACTTGTGGCGCGAAGAGGGCGACGATCGACTTTCATTAACCTCATCATCTCCCTTGTCATTAGCACCTATGGTGTTTCTCACATACATCCCAAACATCATTTCTTAATGATCGTTACCTGCACTTCCCTGATATCGAACACCGGACTTCTGAGGTCATCCGGCCCATGCGCAAAGGCGCAGTGCTGCCCATTTCTTACACAGTAGCCCTTCGCGTCTGTCGGATGCACGCACATTGTCGTCTTGTAATAACGAAGGTGGTATTTGCGTTCTACGTCGCCATGAACTCGGTGCAGGAACGGGCACCTAAAGTGTACATCAGCAGATTTAGACCTAAATACTTAATGAACGCATTGCTTCTATTTAAACAATGTGACGAAATGGAGACTATTATTAACTGGTGTTAGTGGTGAAACTGTAACAATGAGGCATCCACAATGCTGAGCATATGGAGAATAATGAGAACGTGACTGTTACGCAAGACTGATAATGACGGTTGTACCTGCGAGCGCTTCACTACTGCATTTATCGTTATCACTATTACCTGGTCCCCCGCATCATTATCTCTTTAACTTTTATCACTACAACTGTCTTCAAGGCGTCAATTACCTCTAGATCAATTCATTCAGTGTCCTTGCCGTCTTCTCTGAAGAACTGCAAACGCAAAGCAGCAAGTTTGCTATACGCTCATCGTTTCTCATGGTATTGCCAAAATATTGAAATATCATAACTATTTGCTCAGTTAGGTCAATGAAGAGGGTTTGAAGTATTTTCAAGAAATTTGCAAAATGCTCTACGAGCATACGTTTCGAAATTCTTGACTGTCTGGTTTTTACATGCATAGTTGACCAGAAGTCAATTGAAAGAAGTTCTCAGAAAACTTTAAAATACCCTAACTTCTGCACATGAAGATCAGTCTTGCCCACGTTGCTTACTATTTGCATACGTGACAAGTCTCAGTCAAATGACAAATCTTAGGCTAAAACCAAGATGTGAAAAGTGGCCAACTACAATTCAGGTTACAAATCCAATTAGGTTACAGAATAGTGTATGATATTCAAGACATAATGCTGAAAAGAAAGGTCTTCGATCAGTGCACAATCACAGTGCTAACGTATGGATGCGAAACGAAACAAAAATGAAAAACTACAGACTACGTAACGTGGCATTACAGGATGTATGTTGAGAATAACAAGAAATGAGAGGCGAATGAATGGGTAAGGGCACAAACAGGAGTTTGGAATGTCGCTGAACGAGTGAGGCTACGAAGTTGGCAACTAAAAAAACTCTTCAAAAAGAGCTGACGATTGTTGGAACAGAGACGTATTAGATTCGTCTGAAATTCCATCCTACTTATCGACTTTACTTACTGAACATGTATCCAAGAATTTAAAATGAGAAAAACCTTAAACTGACGACGTCATCAACTTGTCCTGCTCAACAGAGAATTTAGCCTATGATTATTACTCAAACCTAATCACGAAAATTGTAGCAAATATAAATTAGATAATAAAAAAAGGTACGAACTCGTCTCCGTCTGGACAGATGCCAGTATTTTCGTCGTACTTTGTGCAGTACATGTCGGGACGATAGTTGAACGTTCCATCTTTGCGTCTCATACACTTCCTTCTTCTCTGATTGGCAAAGTGCCAATAGAAACATCCGTACGGTCTGTGCTGTTGACAAGTGTGCTGCTTGAACAGAGCGCAGGGGTCCACCCGAAAGTCATTCAAGTACCTGCAAAGAGCA